TTTACCATTTCCTTCTCCAGCTCATTTTTACAGCTGAGGAAACTGAGGCATACAGCATGAAATGACTTGCCCAGGGTAATATAGCTAGTAAGTGTCTGAGGCTAGATTTGAAATCAGGAAGATGAGTCTTCCTGATTTCTGGCCCGGCATTCTATCTTTGCACCACCTAGCTGCCCCCTCAAGGTGGTTAGAAAGTCCATTTTGGAAGCCATTTAGCTTTATAGTATCGTGTATTTCATACAAAATGGTACTTTAGAGGCCATCTAGTTCAACCTTCTTATTTTACAAATAAGGAGACTGAGACCAAGAAAAGTTAAGTGTTCTAATTTATCAGTAGTAGAGACAGGATTTAAACTCGAGTCTTCTAGCTTCAACTACAATGTTCTACAAAACCATGATGCCTCTGCGCCAGATGCATCCCTGGCAACTTGACTACTTTGTTTTAATGTGCCTCTCTGAAGAGCACAAAGCCTGGGACACGTCTCCCCCACAACTGCATATCTCCACAGAGAGGAGACAGTTAAAGGAGGTATGGGAGGGGTAGGTGCTGGCTGTCAACTGAGTAGTCAGCTACCTACAACCACAACATCAACTGTGTCCAAACTACTGAAGATGTGGCCATCTACACCAGAGGCCACACTGGTTTTTGAACTGGACACTCCATCTCCCATTGCTATGCATTCATTCAAGCCATCCTGTACCTGAAATATCTACTTATTTCCTGAAGGATTCAGCTCAGCTGCCACCTCTTCTACGAAGCCTTCCCTGGGCCCTCGTTGTTAATGCTCTTTCAGTATTCACATTACCTTTTATTTATCTATACAGAGCTGTATTCCCTAATAAAATATAAGCTCTTTTACAGCACTGGATGCCTGGTCTTTATCTTTGTATTCCTAGTACCTCGGCGTAGTAAGCACTTTAAAAATGGTGTTTTTTAAAAAATTTAGTTGAATTATGATGGTTGAACTCTAATTGATGATTTTTTTTTAAAGAAAACTTCTAATGCATTTGGTGTTGAAGTGCCATCATCCTAAAACATCTTTCACAGACAGCTTTGTCAATGCTAATGCAGCTGGCTATCTGTCTAACAGTTGCTTGCAAAAACAGGAAAAATTATAGATACCTTTGAAGTCTCAGTAAGAAGAGAAGAGGAGACTTTTTAAAAGGAGTCAAAAGTTTCTTCCTCCCTACATTGGGGCCCCATCGAACCCCAAGGGCAGGGTGGAGCTAGGAGGTAGAGAGAAAAAAAGGAACCAGATAGTGTCCCCTTTTTAGTGAGAGTTTTTAAATAATTTTGTTCATCTTTTTTAACTTGTTTATTTAGTTGTTTATTTAAACAATGGTTCCCAAACTTTTTGGTCTCAGGACCTCTTTGCACTCTTAAAAATTATTGAGCATTCTCCAAGGAACTTTTATTAGTTATATCTATCAATATTTACTATATGAGAAATTAAAACACCTCTTAGTATTATATAACTTTGACCTCATGGCTCCCCTGCAGGGGTCTCAGGGACCCTTGGGGGTTTCCAGACCACACTCTGAAAACTACTGATTTAAAACAATGATTAAAAACTTTCATTGAAACCAACTATTATTCCAGAGCTTTGATGATGGAGCATGCTACCCACCTCCAGACAGGGAGGTAATGGACTCAAGTTGCAGAATAAGATATAAATTTTCATATGTGGACAACATGGGGATTTGTTTTGCTTGACTATATAAATAATAGAGATTTATAATTCACGTACAATCCTTTATGGTTATACTACATACACAGAAGTGACCATTTTACTTGGCATTTGTTCAGAATTTCAAAAAGAGAGAAAAAATACACAAAAAATACACAAAAGAAAACAGAAGGAAGGGGATACAGCAAAGCAGGGAATTTGTGATATTATCATAAAATTTAATATCTATTTTTAAAACTACGTAACAGAAATTCATACTTCACATGCAATCCTTTTTTTCCTGTTCTCTGTATAACCAAATGTTCATGTTTGTTCAGTTCATTGTAAACATTAAAAATTTGTAGAGAAATGTTTTAAAAACTTTCACTGAGTTATTAAAAAAGAAAGACTATTAATAGTTTGAGGCCGTTTCCCCAGTTAATATGTGTTTTACTGGAATTAGCTTTTTAAGCCCTAATCAAGCTTTTCTATGAACATAGGCAAGAGGAGAGCAAGTCTCAAAGATCTGACAATCTTTGTATAGAAGTGGGTCAGAACTAGGGGCAAGAAAGATAGACCTCTTGAGTGAAGTTCCCTGGGGAGAGAACTTTCAATAAATACACGGTCTTAATGTTTCTCTCCATAGCCCAGATGATTTTGTGATGTTGAGGAACATTTCACAATGAAGGCTCAAAGCCTCCACTGCCAAGGTGAAGTCATTTCTCTTCCAGACTTGAGTTTCTTCATTTATAAATGGGAGTGTTGGACAGGCCAATCTCTAAGGTTCTATCCTGCTCTAAATTCTTTAAAACCTTGTTTAGGGCTGAATAAAACCTGCCCTCATTTACAAGTCTCTGTGCTTCCCCAGGCCCTCAGAAGGAAAGGTGTCTCAATGTTATTTTGGGGGCATTTGTTTTGGCCCAAGAGTCCAAGGGTATGCTAGATCCAATTGAAAGTGGCTTCCAATAGTCAATGGTTAATTTTTCAGTGTAAGTATTTACATCTTGGAAAAGTACCAATGCTGCAAATCAGGGCTTGGTTTATTATACTGTTGATTGCCTAGACCAGAGTGGGGAATCTCTGGCCTTAAGGCCACATGTGGCCCTCTAGGTCCTCAAGTGTGGCCCTTTGATTGAATCCAAACTTCACAGAAGAAATCCCTTTAATAAAAGGATTTGTTCTGTAAAACTTGGACTCAGTCAAAAGGCTGCACCAGAGGACCTAGAAGGCCACATGTGGCCTTGAGGCAGCAGGTTCCTCACCCTTGGCCTAGACTTAAGAGATGAAGAAAATGTTACAGTTCTTTAACTTAAATTGATGTGATAGAATCCAATGGTCTTAGCTATATATGCATACGTAACAGACAATGACAAGGTGCTATTATGCAGTTTTATAGATTTTTCCAAGTAGCTTAAGTTCTTCAGTATGGTCCACTGATGTATGTAGATAAGATCAATGAGCTCTCAGATAACAAATTTTTCTCCCTCTCAATTGGAAACCCCAAGGAAAATGAGGAAACCATTTTTATTGGAGGTCCATCATCTTTGCTGACAGAAGATAATGTTTTTCAGTTTATTAAATTTTTACTTGGTCTTTTCAGTAAAATAGATTGAAGGGGGCTCACTAGCTATCTTTAAGATTTGGGAAGAAGGAGAAGGGGAAGAAGGAGAAGGAGAAGAAGAAGAAAAAGAAGAAGGAGGAGGAGGAGGAGGAGGAGGAGAAGAAGAAGAAGCAGCAAGCTTTTGCAAAAATGGTATGGTTTTATTGAAGACATTATTTATAAATACTGTGGTACTTTGTAACTACTGAATTGTGAGACTGAATTGCGAGATATGCCAGATTGTTAGTAATGACCACATAAAATGTAAAAAAGGAAAAGTAAAACTTTTAAATACTTTGCACCCAATTAAAAAATGCAAATTAAACTTAAAAGTGTGACCTGCATTTTTTTTTCCCAAAGAGCTGTTAAACATATATCAGCATACCCTTGTCTGAGACAACTTATTTTTGTTTTCTTCGGCTGAATAAATTTTTCTTTAGTTTGAAGCAAATCTAGTTACTCGTAGCTTTTCTCTGAACAGCCAGCAATATAATTTAACACCTAGGAAATACCAAATGAGAACTACTCAAGGCAAAAAACAAAACAAAACAAAAATCCTCAAGAAAAAGTTGAGCTCTTTTGTGCTTTTGCAATGGGACTTAAAATTGTACTGAATTAACTGTGTAAATCACAAAAAGAAGGCTGCCAAACAAAGGGGCTTTTTGGGACAAGGGGAGAAATGTTGGAAATGAAAGATAAGCTATAATTTATTCTTGGTGGAAAAAGAAAGTAATTTCTGGGTAGAGTTATAAAGACTCCTCCTTATTCCACAGCTAAACTGGAAAACAATTACAAAGCACTTAAATCTGGACAAAACTAAGGTAAGTAGTACTCGAAGAAATAGAAAAATCGAACTCAACAATCTCTAGGAGACTCAGGTGAGGGAGGAAAAGAGATGTCCTCGTACTAACAATGAGCCCTCCTTAATCTTACTGCTCAATGAGGACCAGAAGACTACAATCCCCAGGAGGCCCCGCGGCTGCAGCAAACCCCGCCTCTTCCTAGCCCCAGACTGAAGTCCGTCCAACTCCCCAGGCCTGACATTAGATGATGAAACAGCATTTTAGAAGGATGCAATACAGAGGGAGAAGGCTGACCGTAGGTCTGCGTGGGGTTTTATCTGCAACCTGGACCAGAGCTGCTGTGGCCATAGCAAGGAAGGGGTTGGCTCAGTGGCGACAACCAGGGGACTCCGAGCGCGCACTTTCCAGGCTGGGGGAAGGAGAAGGATCCAAGCGGGAAGGCGGGGCCTGCCTTCCACATGGTGGGCTGAGTCCAGGCCAGTGGGGCAACGGCCCAAGCGCCCCCTCCAACCACAATGTGGCAGCCCTTCTGGCTTCCCCCCGGCCACGTCTAGACCCATCTCCTCTGCCCCTGCAAACCAGTGTTCCCCAGTCCCGGCTCTGACTCGCGGAGGGCCCATCCCCGGCTCCACCCTGCACTGTGGCCGCTGCTGGAGGCGCCCAGGTGTGCTGCCTGCCCAGCGAGTCCCCACCACTCCTGACCGTCCTGGACCTCCCTGCATCCCTGATGCTGCTGCAGACTCACGCTGAAGGCACATCCAGACCCCTGGCCCAGGCACTCACGCCTCTTTCTTCCGCAACCCAGGTGGGAGAGGAGCCACGGGGCAGGTGGAGGCCAGGAGCCCTAACCTCCTTTAAGGTCCCCTCTCTCCCTCACTCCTCCTGACCGCCCCCACTCTCCATCTCCATACAGCTTGGATGGCTTTGTACCTGAGTTTCTGGGGGCCGGAGCCCGCTGTCCCGGTCCTTTGCAGGTTAAGCCTCTTAGTGTGGGGACTGAAAGTGAAAGTAGAAGCAAGAGAGAGGAGGGAAGGCCCTGAAAGGTTGTAGCTGGCCTCTCCCCTGCCTGGAGCATCGCTGGTGTCTGAACTGGGGAAGGGAAGCTAGCCCGACATGCTGGAAGGGATAGAATGGGAACAGGGCCCTGACTGTGTCCGGATCCCTGTAGTAATCCAGAATAAGTAGAAATGCGTTTCAACAGATGTGTATTAGGTAGGATTATGTCTATTGTGTTAAGTGCTGGAAGAGATCCAAATAAATATAAATGAGACTGAGTCCCTGTCCCAGTCTAGTGGGGGGAGAAGATATCACAGGTAAATTTAATTCAAATTGGAAAAGGACAAAGGATATGAGAACAAATGAGGATGGAGTCAGGCAAGGAAGAATGGAGGAGGTGACTTTTGCAATAGGCCTTCAATAATGAGTATGTCCTCAATAGGAAGAGATAGAGAGGAAGGGCATTCTAGGTACCTGAAGGTCAGGAAGTTTGCACAATACATTGAGGTAAGAGGAGTAATAGGTAGAGTCCCTCATGGGAAATCAAAGTGGTCTGGAGCCAGATTTTGACCCTAGAAAGTTGCTTCCATGCTCTGGTTCAGTTTCCTAACCTGCTAGAAAAAAAAAAGTAGGGGAGTGAATTAAATCTGAGGTTCTTAACCCTTTTTGTATCATGGATCCCTTTAGGGGTCTGGCAAAGCCTGTAGACCTTTTCTCAAAATAATTTTTTAAAAGAATAAAATAAAATATGAAGTATTACAAAGGAAACCAATAACAGAAATATAATTATGAAAATATTTTTTAAAACAAGTTAAATTATTAAAGGGTTTTGAACAGTAAAGTTACTGATCATGCCTTTGAGCCATTAAGGATGAAGCTGGCAATATGAGAACAGCTTGGAAGTATAAGAGACAGTGCTTTGGGGAGTATCTGCATAGCTGAGAAGAGGAAGAATGTCAAAGGGAGAGAGTGTCAACATAGAGAGGTCTGTTAAGTAGTCATGGTGACCAGCAGAGAGGAAAAGGAATGAAGACTGAGAAAGGTTCTTTAACTTTGTTCATCAGATTAGGATCATAAAGTTAGGGTTGAAAGGCATTTAACATCATCTAATCCAACCCCTCAGTGCTCTCAAAATCATGTGCCTCCAGGATAATCCCCCTATAGTTCTAGTTTGTCTAGTTCAGATGCTCTTCCCTTTTTTATTTTCTTTAGAGTCTCCTCTCTTTACTCATATGGCATAACAGGGTTTATGATGCTAGAATCCAAATGGGATTACTCATCATAATGTGGTAAATAAAAATAACATTTTATACCCTTTTGAGGTTTACAAAGAACTATCCTCAAAATAACACTCTAAGGTAAATAGTACATATATTATTATCCCCATTTTACAGATAAGGAAACTGAGACTCTTCAAAGTGAAGTGACTTGCACACCGTCACACACCTAACAGCTGTAACAAGCATGAGTCAAATGGTGCTTTGCTCCAAAGTGATAGCACCCAAGGGGAGGATCACAGTTCCTCCCCAGAACATATGCTTTTGCCTCACAGCAACCAAGTTCATCCACCTTGTAGTTCTGGGCCAGCATATTCAACAGCATGGCACAACTGTGCCAAGAATCAAACTACAGATTAAATGTGTGTATATGTATACATATATGTGTATATAGTCTAACAACTAATATATGTTGGGACCAGGAGTTAAACCCTTATCTCCTGATTACCAATCTAACACTTGTTGCTTTCTTATCAAGTAAATGGTATAGACAACATGAATTAAGAAGAATGGGATAATTTTTTGCACCTGGATAATAAACCAGGTTTTCACACAGGAAACAGGATTTGAGCTAGGCCTTAGAAGTTGGATAGGAATTTTATATCCATAAAATAGTTCTCCTCTCCTTAAATCCATCCCACCAAATTATCTCTTACCCATTTTCAAATGGTTTTGTATGCCAACATTTCCATATGAAAGACACTGTCCCTTTTGTATATGAACATTTTGGTTGCTAGAAAGGGCAGAAAAAGAACATTTGTGTAAGGAAAACTGATAAAAATCAACTTGAGAAGAAACACTTTATCTCTAAGATAAAATGACTCTTCTGGAACCAGATTGAGAACTGCCCCTGAGGTGAATATATGGGAAAGGGTCTGTTTCAAGGCAAAGCAACGACTGAGGTAATGGTGGCCAGAGGGTGTTACCATCGGTCAGCTCTTGCACCTGTGACTATTTTTAGCATTTTAAAGTGTTTAAGTGGAGACTATGAGATGAATATATAAGGATTTTAGAGATTCATGCCTGACCAAAAAAAAAAAGATGAATTGTTGAGATTCAGATCATAACTTGGAGATGGGGCACTGCTTATTAAGAGGCACTGATTCAAGATATTAGTATTCAGAGAAGTCAGCAGAAGAAACTGGGAAGGGAGAATAAAGGGAGAAAGCTGAGCATAGGAGGCAGAAGGCACAGTAGGTGATGGGAAAAGGTGCTTAAATACAGGAAGGCTTTGCAGCTGTTTTACTGGGAGCCCTGCTGATTGGAGAGATGGGGTTGTTTTGCTGAGCGTTGATTGGCTTGTTGGAAGACAACTAGTTGAGCTTATTGCTCCTCTGGCTCCCTCTGCAGCCTGACATGGGGGAAACCTCTTGGTGGGGCATTTATTGCCCTTTACTGCCCTTTTTGGTTAAAGAAGGTCAAACAGAGAGAGAGAAAGAGAGAGAAAGGTTTTGCATCTGCTTTGTTGTGAAAAGATGCTTGACTTTTCTGAGAAATGATTGGACAAAGCAGAATCCCCTTATACCTGAAGAACTGAGAAAAGCTGCCTTGCCTTATCACTTCTAAGACCTAAGAGGGAAAATATCCTCAGAGCCCCAAAGCAAATCTGAGGAGTTTGGCAGATTGTCAGAGGGACTCTGACTTACTTACTCAGCAACCTTCCAAGGGAGTGCCTCTATGCTAAAAGATTCTGTCGCTATTTCAACAGACCAAGAGTAACCAAGTGGCTTTGTCTATGTTATGGGGACCAGAAGGGAATCAGGTAACAGAGAAATGGTTTTCCCCAGCAGGTAATCCATGTTCCAGACTGTTCTATACAGAGAACCAGGATATCAATACCTGCTTTCCAGAGTCTTGAGTTGCCAGAAACACAGCGGTTTCCATACTCATATACCGTCCTAGGTTTCTGTAAATATATGACTACTCTACCCTATGCATATTGTGTGCATTGGTTGGAAGAGTGTGATCCAAGTTCATGGATGGATTGTTATATTTTGATTATTCTTGCTTTTGCTTTCTAATGAGTAAATGTTATGATTGTTTCTGTTTTTATCTTCTCTAGGGTGTTATGATTATTCTTCATTTTGCCTGATTAGATAAGTGTTTCATATTTAAGTTAATGATGTTATGATAGTCATATTTCAATATAATAAATTCAATATAATTCAATATAATTTACAATTCTACATATTTTATTTTATGCATTTAAAACCTTATTCTGAGAAAGGGGCCATAGACTTCAGACTGTCAAAGGAGTCCATGTCATACACACAAAGTTAAGAACCCCTGCTCTAGATGACCTAACACCTCTATCAATCTCTCCTCCTCTTCCAGCATCTTTCCCAAGACAATGATATTGTCTAGCTATGCCAACAGTGGAAGTTCTTTGGATCACAGACCTAGAGCTGGTAAGAAATTAAGAGGCTATTTAGTCCAACCCCTTCATTTTATGGATGAAGAAACTGAGGTCGGGTAAATTAAGACTGTGACTACTTTCTCTACCAGTCATTGGAAGGTGGTAGGGGCCTCTGAGATGCCTTGGAACAAATGCTCAAAATTATAAAACCTGACTGTGCAGATCGAAGCAGTCTTCTCTTTGTCTTCCTCCACCATATGTATCTGGTAGCATGCACTATGTAAATTCAACATTGAGAACTACTGGCTGTCTAACAAACAGTGCAAGGTATCTTGAACCATTGGCATGGTGGATTGCTTTATTTTAGTCCTCTCTTTCAAAGTCCAGTAATCTATACACACTTGTATCTTTCCATTCTTCTTTTGAACCCCCACTTTAGGTGATGCATAAGGATTGTTTGGAGTCTCTGAAAAAAAAATTGACTAGACAATTTCCTAAGGTCTGATAAAGGAATCTTCCTAGATCATTCCTGGAACAGTCAGGAGTCTGAGTTGCTCCTTGGGTATATCTCAGACATGCATTGAGAACAGTCTTGTGTTCTTGCTGAGCTTCTGCTACTACCAGCACTTCCATTTGTCTAGGACTGAAAAAAAACCACAGCTGATTTTTTTAGGATCCACTTCTGAATTTGAAGAGCCAGAGCTCCCATGACCTTCACTGTCAAAACTTGCTCTGTCCTCCTTTAGGTCTTTGCTCAGGCTGCACAGAAAATCCAAGCGAGCATGTATTTATATCCTAGTTTGTTGTATACAGTATGCTGCTAGCATACTGAACAGGCTGGAATTGGTTCCAATCAATGATGACACACACTGTAGGGATGGTAGATGGATCTGGGTGTAGTAGAGCCACGATATTGTCTTCCTTCCCATTGACACCAACAATGTTCTTGAGAAACTAAACTCCAAAGCCATCTCTGAGGCTGGATGGAGTCTAGAGTCTCTCTGCACTCTCTACTCTTTACTCTTCTATTCTACCCTCCCCCCACTCCCATGCCACCAGGCTCCTCCAGCCTGAAGTGGAACCTAATCTCTGTCCCCATTCCCTATAATATCTGCATTCTGCAAGTGGAAAAAAATAAAATCACACATGAAATTGACTCCAGATGCTGATGGCAGTTTATGTGGGGTTCTGATCACTCTGCATACCTCAAATAGTGTTGGACCACTTGGCCACTCTGAACAGTGGTTCTGTTCACTGTGCTAATTGATATGGCTCAACTAGACAGAAATGAAATTGCATCTGGCTGTTCTAGTTATTTACAGGTGTGGAAGAAGGTACTTTTTGCCCACTTTGGCACCAGGGAGGGAACTGAGAATTGGGAAAACGTGATAGCCATACTACTCTCTACTTCCTTTTCCATATTTATGATCCTTTCTCATCTCCTTTCTGGTATTTTCTGACACTATAGTCATATCCATTTGGAGTCCATATCCCCCAGGCACAAAGTATTCAGGGAAAATGGACAAAATCATATCAAAAGTGTCCCAATAATGGCAGTTGCTAGAGGAACCAATCAGATAAACCCAAGGCCACTTCTGTTCAGATGCCTTTTATATATCTCTGAGACAGGCATGACAGATGAGGTGGGCCTAGAATCTACTAAAAGGAGGAAATCAAGCAGTATTGCATTTAGGAAGAGGAATAATATTTTCATGATCCCAGAGGCAGCTGGGTGGCACAGTGAATAGAGCCCTAGGCCTGGTGTCTGGAAGACCTGAGGTCAAATCAACATGATCCTGGGCAAGTCACTTAACTTCTCACTTAACCTCTCTTTGCCTCAGTTTCCTCATCTGTAAAATGGAGATTGATAATAATAGCATCCATCCCTCAGGGTTGCTGTCAGGATCAAATAAGATATTTGTAAAGTGCTTAATACAGAGCCTGGAAGGTGCTTAATAAGTGCATGTTTGTTTCCTTCCTTCCTTCCCTAGCACCACCATCCTTCTAGCCACCAAAGTTTACAACCTAGAGTTACACTCAACCCCTCCATAGGGAGAATTTCCCCTCACAGCTTAGTTGCTAGATAATTGAGAGCTCTAGATTCCATCAAGAAGTCCATTAGTCCATTAGGACTTTAGAAATTTCATTGGCTTTCTGAGTGCCTGCAGCAGTGGGGCAGCACAGACTTAAGCACAGCAGGTATAGTTTGTTCCAGTTACAGACTGTAATCCTATCCAAGCTCTTCACAGAGCTGGCTCCCTTCACTCTTTAATTTAGTTTAGTGATTGCCAGATGATTGGCAGGTTCCCTGTTGGTTCCTTCAGTGCTGCTTTTCCAAGAACTTCTCCAGGGTTTCCTAGAATAGGGCTTAAGTTCCACTGGATCACTATGATCTCCAATCCTTTTTGCCAGACTCATAGCATATTGCTCAACGATGCAGCAAAAGTACATTCCTGAATGAGGCAAGAATCCAACTGTGAGTACTTGCTATAAGGGAAGAACTAGAGAATCTATTCTGAGTTCATGAACCTTGCTCCACAGAGCCTAAGATGGTTTAAACCAGGTTGAAGGTAATTAATGAGCTTCCCACCCATCAGTGAGTTAGGGAGTGTCTACCCCAAGCATGGGAAGCCTTCATGGGATAGAAGGAGTGGATGAGAACAATTTGTTCCAATGGACATGAATGTGGCTAAAGCAGGTGCTGTAGAGCACTAAGAGCTTGGTCAGACATCAAAGATGCCAGGGTCACTGCACCCGGGCCATTGCCAGTAATCTTGACTTTTGCCTTGTCTCTGGACTTCAATGACTCTGGAAGAGAGAGTGAGGCTGAAAACTTTGTACAACACCCCCTCCCTTAAATCTAATTCATGCATGAGTCAAGATATCACCAGTGACGTCCAGTGATGGTCCTCTTCAAAAAAAAGGACGAACAACAAGTCAGCAAAATGAAGGAATCTCCCACGTTAGACACTCAGTAAATGTTGGGTGCTTAAAGCGCAAAGGTTAGAGCTGGAGTGATGGCCCACTTGTGTCTGTGAAGTCATTGTGCATTTAAGAAAAACTATTCTCTTTGCTCATTAGCATTCAAAAGGTTTAGAGAAAAGAAAATACTACAACCCCCTTTGATATAGAAGCCATTTCTGTTACCTAGTTTAAATTGAAAAATGGAGATTAAATGCTCCAAATAACAATTGATGAGAGAAATGCAAATTAAAATAGCTGTAAAGTATTACCTCACACCTTTCAGATTGGCTAACATGACAGAAAAGGAAAATGACAAATGTTGGGGGGGATGTGGAGAAATTAGGACACTAATGCATTGTTGATGGAGTTGTGAACTGGTACAACCATCCTAGAGAGCAATTTGGAACTATGCCAAAAAGGCTATAAAACTGTGTATATTCTTTAACTCAGAAATACCATTACTAGGTCTGTATCCCAAAGAGATTAAAGAAAAAGGAAAAGGATCTAGAGGTACAAAAATATTTAAAGCCTCTCTTTCTGTGATGGCAAAGAATATGAAATTGAGGGGACGTCCATCAACTGAGCAATGGCTGAACAAGTTGTGGTATATGATTGTGATGAGACAGTATTATGCTATCAAAAACGATGAGCAGGATGGTTTTAGAAAAACCTGGGAAGACTTACATGAACTTATGTTAAGTGAAGTGAGAAGAGGTAGGAGAATGTTTATACACCGTAACAGCAATATTATATGACGGTCAACTGTGAATGACTTAGCTATCCTCAGCAACACAATGATCCAAGACAATTCTGAAGGACTTATGATGAAAAATATTATCCAGATAAAGAAGTAACAGGGTCTGAATGCAGATTGAAACATACTCCCTTAACTTTACTTTTCTTATTTTTTCTTTTTCCTGGGGTGGGGAGGGGGTCCTGCATTTTCTTTTGCAACACGACTAATATGGAAATGTTTTGCGTGACTGCACATGTATAATCAGTATCAAATTGCTTGCCTTCTCAAAAAGGGGGGAGAGGAAGAAGGGCATTTGGAACTCAGACATTTAAACAAATGTTAAAAATTGTTTTTACATGTCATTAAGAAAAATAAATTTAAAAAATAGAGATAAATCATAAATCAACATGACAGCTGGGTTGAGAGAGGGGTCAGGTTGTATATACAAGGACATTGTCCTTTGGATATAATTTCTTCTAGCCCTGAAGCAGAGAAATGTCTTGTGGGACAGGAAAGGCCTCAGACAAGTAGATGAGGTACAAGCTTTCCTGGGAGAAGTTTCCCTACAAAAATACTAAGAACAGAAATAACAGAGTATTAAGGAGACCCTGAATACTTCCTAATTGAGGAGAAATCTGAAATAGGTAATTGTAGAAAGTAAGCAAATCAGGGTGGGGAAAAAAATTACCTAAGCATCTGCATAGGTAAAAGTTTAGATAAGCAATATTGAATTTAATGACAAGGGCATATGTTTTATTTGGTATTTGTAGTATTTTCAGTTCAGTAAGTACTTATTTAGCACCTACTATGTGAGAGGTAGTATGGTAGAGTAGATTAAGTACTGAAATGGAGTCTGAGAATCTGGTTTCAAATGCTGCCTAAGATGCTTACTAGGTTTGTGACCCTGGGCAAAGCATTGTCTAGTTTTGGTTTTCTCATCTGTAAAGTAGAGTGGAAAGGGGCCAGGAAGAGAACTGAGTCCCAGAGAGGGAGTCACTTGCACAGGTCACAAGAAGTAGCTTTTGAATCCAAATCCAGGGCCCTTTTC